CCATTCTCGAGGGAAATCTTAGCTGCGCCGTTACCTGCGAGTTTCCGGGAGATAAACCTAATTTTCGATGGATCGAGCGACCCGTCGAGACACGTGAGAGCATTCGAAAACATGTCCGTCTTACACGGGTATTCAGATCCGGTCAGCTGCAAGGCCTTCCTGTCGACCTTACGGGGAGGCGCGCTCGACTGGTTCCATCAATTAGCTCCAGGTTCGATCAGAGACTTTGAGGATTTCGCAGGACAACTTACTAATCAATACTCAAGTGCGGTCCCCCAGGAGAAGACATACCTTACACAGATGGCAATGAGACAAGGCGAGAAAGAATCCTTACGGAAATATGTTGCTCGATATAATCAGGTGTGTCTGGAGGTGCCCACGGCGGGTGACGAGGTGAAAGCAGGAGGATTGATTAGAAGTCTACGGCCAGGACCATGTCGAACGTCGCTGGCAAAGACGTCTGCTCGAACTTACGATGAGGTGCTCAAAAGATGCAAGAAGTACATTAACTTGGAAGAAACGGAAGCAGAGTTTGCCAAGCTCGAGGACGTTGTGAAACCTGAGCAGAAGAAGGGAAAGACGAGCTCGCCTAGGAGGGGATCACCTAGGAAAAATTCCCCAAGAGGAGGATCTTTTAAGAGGTTGTCGCCCAGGAGGGATGGGCGAAATTCATTCCGAGAGAAGCGAGAAGATCGCTGGCAAGGGCGACCTCGACTACCAAACGGCCAAAGATATAATCATTTTACTCCTATCAACGCCCAGATGGGCGAAGTCTTGGCGGCCATAGAGGAGAAGTTGGAAAGCAAGGAAGTCACATGGCCAGCGACCAGGTTCGAGGGACCGACCAAACCTAGGTCGAATAAATACTGCAGATTTCATAGGGATTATGGACATAATACAGAAGATTGTAGGCACTTAAAAGACGAGATCGAGCGTCTCATACGGACAAGACAAGGGAAAGGAGAAAATAGACGTACAGCCCGGAGAAGAGATTGAGGAAATTCAAATGGTGCAGGGATGCGATAACTGAAAATTTAGGATTGGAAAAGATTTGGGAGAGCCAATCAGGTCGAAGCTGATCAATTTAATAAGGGAATC